AACAAACCTTCCAAGTGTTCTGCGATTTTAATTCAGAGCCTGAGTTCGCTTGGAATCTGATTGAATCATTCAGTTTGTCCAACAAAAGCCGTTTCCAGGTAACCTCGCTAAAACTCACTAACTGTCAAACAAAGATCTCTTCCAGGTTATTTGACATCTCTTTATACAGCGTAGATGTCTATTCTTTGTTTCACGAACTCAGCTGAAATGACTTGAATTCTCAGCGTCAAATTCAGAACGCCTTAATGGTTTTCAAGTCTTTAAACGGGCTGGTTCCCGAATATTTTAGTCTAAATAAAGCGAAATGAATCGAAGTATTCTCTGATGGACTCGCGAAACAAACTTGTTGTCCCCATTCCGAGGACCAACTACATGAAAAAATAGTTTTAGTTACAGCGGCGCAACCCTTTGGAACAGCTTGCCCTGTACCATTAGAGTCTGGTTCATTAAATCAATTTAAAAGTCTCCTCTATTATAATTTTTAAACACGGCATTCATGGAAATCGGATTTTTTTTAAGTGGCAAATTATTGTAAGTTTTAACTTATATGAAATATAATGTTAGGATTAGGATTTTCAGGTTTTAGGACGTTAGTCATTGTATTAGAATTTATTGTGCCTGATGATATTTTTTACCGTGTATAAATAGAATAAATAATTGAATACAAAAATTTATATTTTTATTTTTTTGATGGTCATTCAGATTATAATTAGCGATCATATTCAGTTTTTGATGACTCACAGAAGGTTTGTCGTTAAGCAGCATTCATTCCCCTTTCTGGAGAATTGGCGAAACTGTCAAAACTACAAAGCAACTGGTCTAACTCGTTTGGACTCTACACAGTTATTGATGACACCAGTCGAAATTTCCAAGTGTTATTTGATTTTGATACAGAGCCCGAGATTGCCAGGAACCTGATTACATCATTTAGTTGTTCTCAAAAAGGCCTTTTCTAGGTAATTTTCCTAAAAATCCTCGCCAGAAGGTCGGCCTATCCTATCTATTAATTCTTTACAAAGAAAGGTAAATGGTGTGGAGAAATTTTCTTCGTAGTCTGTGCTGCGATGGAACATATCATTGTTGTTGTTGCTTTATTAGAAGATCTCATACGGCATATCCGTTTGGCTGCTATAATAACAAATTATGACCTTCACTTTCTTCTCTCTGTCTTCAGAAGGACATCGTGCTTTACGATGACTACCAAGCCATCAGCGGTGATGCCCCAAACTGGCATGCCTACCTCATCAAACGACCCTACCTCCTTTGGCTCAGAAATAGCTCGACTCACTGGAGAGCTACTTGTCGATACAACACTGATGGCACCGTATATACAGATTACCTGAGAGCCTCGCTTGAAGACTTTGACATCATCATAGACCAACCCACGATGACAGATGTCTGTCGACCGTACGAATATGTCAACATCCGGGGAAACGAGTGTGTGAATTGTACCGCACGGACATGGTATAAGAAAGGAGATTATCCTCTTCATATCGATAGTGGTAAACAGAATGACTGTGATTTCGATGAACACAGTAAAGACGCAGTGTCCAGTGAAGACAACTTTGGTTATTACTCCAAGATAAATTCTAAATTCCGCTGTACTTCAAGTGACAGTGACACTACCCAGTTATGGATCGGGGGCAAGTGATTTCCTCATCTAAGAACTTACCTGTAGGCTTAAAAATCATCTGGACATGGCTACCTTTTAAATGTGATCAGTTTTGTAGCTTGCCGCACACCTGGTCAGCGGCCGAGTAGTTTTGCAAGTGAGTTCCAAAAAACTTAACTGAAATCCTCGCTTAGTATCTGCGTTACAGAATGCGTGTAAATGTAACAGTCTACCGTTTA